AAGGTGCTGTCTCTTGTATTGCCGGAAGACGATAGAATTAGAAACTACTATCCTCTCAGGAAATGAGAGATTTTGATACCTTTTCTCGTTTGTAATTTTTTTTTTCGGAATCCGATTTTTTTATACATACATACATATAAGTCGCTTTACAGCACTCCCTCGCGCTCTACGACTCCTAACCTCCACTGCTCTCTTTCAAACCACAAATCTTGGGGGATTGAGCACCTTAACATTTCCGCTTCAATCCCTTCCCTCCAACCTTTCATTGGGCGCCCTCTGCGTCTTCTCCCAGGAGGAACCCAGTCAATGACCTTCTTCGGCAACCTGTCTCCTGCCATTCTCTTTTCTCCTCTCATCCTGCCGATTTTTTTATACCTACACTAAAAAAAATTGCAAAAGTTGCCGCCATGGGCCGCGGCCCATGTGGCCACCCCCTAAATCCGGCCCTGATTTTTTCTTTCCGTTTTTATTTTTACTATCTGTGCTTGTTTTAAAAATGTATTAGAAAAATGAGACTCAATGATAGATTGATATACTTTTAAATTGTCTTTTGAGCACTAGGAGCTAACATCACCCATACTCGTCTGACATGACTGTATTTGATATGAATTCAATTTTTGTCTTCATGAAATTGCGTTCACCCAAAATCTTATCAGTGACATGCTTTTTTCATAATGAAACTACGGCATGCGAAATAGCAAAATTCAAACATATTCATGAAAACAAGTGCTATTTCAGTGAGATGATTAATATTCACAGTCATTTTAGTTATTTAGAAAATTCAGTAAGTTTTCATGAATAGGTGAAACTATGCTACCTTTCATTCAAGTGTTGAGCTCAGAATCCATGAAATTAACTTGCTCGGCTGGATCAAAAAGAACAAGGGAAGGAATGAAAAAACAAGAGAAGTATATTTTGTATAAAAATACCAACACTGTTTTATTATGTAAATACAAAAAAAAATTAAAAAACAAAAAAAGTAAGGAATAAATAAAAATAAGAGTTCAGATCTTCTTTAGACCCAATAAAAATTCACACTGAGAAAATAAATAAATGATGACACTCACACAAAGTTGTGGACCAAAGAAAAAAAAAAAAAAAGAAAAAAAAACCTGAAGTAACATTATGATAACTACTTGGGGTACTTGAAAAACCATATTTGCTACATGTGAAATTCAAAGGACACACATACCAGAAAAAAATTAAGAAGGATAAAATAGGAATTTTTTTGGAATATGGCAAGTGACTTATATTTATTAAAAGGAGCGCAAAATTGGGAAAAAATTTTTTGCATGTTGTTGAGTGCTCCGATATTATCTCTCTAATATTGGAGAGAAAATCAAGGTTCTCTTGCCTCTGACCTGACACTGGCCGTGATGAGAGAAAAATTAAGTTAATCTACGGCATTTGAAAAGGAGAGCCTCTGTTTGATAGCTTTGCGAGGTTTGAATGATAAAAAAAATGAAAAGGATCTAGTCAACCCTGTTACAAAAGTTAGAAAAAAGTTATAGTTATAATGAGATTTTGTTACAAAAAAGGGAGAGGGTGTTTTGAACAGTTCCAGCTTTCTTTCTTAGACTTTTTGGCAGAAAGAGAAACACTTTCATTATGACTTAAAATAGTCATTAAAAGACGTAATTGGATACCTTTTCCACTCAAGTCTGAAGATGTGTCAGTTAGGTACCTTTCTCAAGATTAAATTTAATTCTACTCTTGTGAACTATTCACCAAAGTGAGCCATAGCTGGTTTCAAATACATACATGTTCAACAAAAAGCATCACATAAATTAAAAGGTGAGTTATAAAGGCCACAAAGTTACTTTGTATCAGTAAAAACATCGAAAATAAAAAAAAATTAATCACACAAGGATAAAAAGGCAATGAATGGACGGAATAGTTAAAAATCTTTGGTTGGAAAAAAAAGGAAAAACCACACACAGAAAACTTAGTCTAAATAAATGCATATAAAAATATAAGAAAATACTGTCTCTTTTCTTCATGGGACAAAAAAAAAATTTGGAGATCTAAATTTCATTTAGTTGCATTGATTTATTAAATAAAAAAATATTACTTTTAATAAGTCTTCCACGAACAAGACTTGTCAATGATTCATTTGACGAGTAATTGACTTTCATCTTTTACTGAGCATACAAGAGAAAATATATATATATCATAGTAGCTAAGATTTCGCTTAGCCAATTTAACCTGAACTATTGTAAGTTGCAACGCTTCAGGAAAAGGAGTCTGAACCCAGTAAAATGTAACAAAATCCTCCACGGTGCCCCTGAACTCACTTTAAATGCGACTTTGTTGTACATCAAAAATTCAAGTTGGAGGTTGTAGTGGGGTACTCCCTGATGGTTTTTTGGGCAATTTCGAAATAGGTTGTCGGAGCTCCTCGAAAAATAATCGCATTTTTGTGGTTTTTTAGGGGTAAAATAGCAAAATTGGCCTCCGGGCGACAAATTAAACCCCCTCTCCCTCATCCTTGCCTTGACCGATCTGAATTTTTAGTATGTTTTTACCTGGTATAAGATGGGACTTTTCTGAAATTTTTATGCCCATAAAAATTTTTTTGCTCCCGCGGCAGCGTTGCCAAGTTGCGGACTCCAAAATATCGAATTTAATGATAAAATGAAGGTTTCGGAGTGTGATTTCCATTCAAAATCAAAAATTCAAATTGTAAGTTGTAGTAGGGTACTGCCTGATGGGGTTTTGGCCAATTTCGAAGTAGAGTGTTTGAGATTTTTGAAAAATAATCGAATTTTTGCGGTTTTTAAGGGTAAAATAGCACACTGAGCACGGGGCGGCAAGTTGAACCTTTTCTCTCCCATCCTTGCCGTGACCGATCTGAACTTTTAGTATGTATTAACCTGGTATAAGATGTGACTTTTCTGAAATTTTCATGCCCATACAAAATTTTTTGCCCCCCGCGGCAGCGTTGCCAATTTGCGGACTCAAAAATATCGAATTTGATGATAAAATGAAGGTTTCGAGGTGTGATTTCCTCCAAAATGTCACGAAAAATGTGCAATCTGAGAGTTTTCGTTAAGAAAAGGCATATTTGAACAATTTAGAGTTGCAGTGTTGCCAGCTTTTGATTAAAAATTCGTCAAAATGACACAAATCGCGTTGCAACCTCGAGCGCTGGATTTTTATTTCGTTCAGAATTGGTTATTACGGTTCTTCTGTACTATATGCATTTAGGTACCATGAAAATTATGCCATTACTTACTTGATGGGTGCAGCTAACTCAAAAAGAGAGGCCGGATAAAGCGATGAGTCGGGGGAAAACGAGCGGTTCGGGTTGACAGAAAGTTCTTAAATCTACTCCATCACCAGAAAGTAGAATTTGAGAACTTTCTCCCACCCCCCAAACCTTATCCCTGTTGCAGTCAATCCTTTGAACATCTGATCTGAAATTTTGCCCCCGAATTTTTACCAAAAACAAGATGTGTTTTTGCACAAAAACGTGTTTTTATTTTTCAGGGGGGTGGGAGAAAGTTCTCAAATTCTACTTTCTGGTGATGGAGTAGATTTAAGAACTTTCTGTCAACCCGAACAGCTCGTTTTCCCCCGACTCATCGCTTTATCCGGCCTCTCTTTTTGAGTTAGCTGCACCCATCAAGTAAGTAATGGCATAATTTTCATGGTACCTAAATGCATAGAGTACAGAAGAACCGTAATAACCAATTCTGAACGAAATAAAAATCCAGCGCTCGAGGTTGCAACGCGATTTGTGTCATTTTGACGAATTTTTAATCAAAAGCTGGCAACACTGCAACTCTAAATTGTTCAAATATGCCTTTTCTTAACGAAAACTCTCAGATTGCACATTTTTCGTGAAATTTTGGAGGATATCACACCTCGAAACCTTCATTTTATCATCAAATTCGATATTTTTGAGTCCGCAAATTGGCAACGCTGCCGCGGGGGGCAAAAAATTTTGTATGGGCATGAAAATTTCAGAAAAGTCACATCTTATACCAGGTTAATACATACTAAAAGTTCAGATCGGTCACGGCAAGGATGAGAGAGAAAAGGTTCAACTTGCCGCCCCGTGCTCAGTGTGCTATTTTACCCTTAAAAACCGCAAAAATTCGATTATTTTTCAAAAATCTCAAACACTCTACTTCGAAATTGGCCAAAACCCCATCAGGCAGTACCCTACTACAACTTACAATTTGAATTTTTGATTTTGAATGGAAATCACACTCCGAAACCTTCATTTTATCATTAAATTCGATATTTTGGAGTCCGCAACTTGGCAACGCTGCCGCGGGAGCAAAAAAATTTTTATGGGCATAAAAATTTCAGAAAAGTCCCATCTTATACCAGGTAAAAACATACTAAAAATTCAGATCGGTCAAGGCAAGGATGAGGGAGAGGGGGTTTAATTTGTCGCCCGGAGGCCAATTTTGCTATTTTACCCCTAAAAAACCACAAAAATGCGATTATTTTTCGAGGAGCTCCGACAACCTATTTCGAAATTGCCCAAAAAACCATCAGGGAGTACCCCACTACAACCTCCAACTTGAATTTTTGATGTACAACAAAGTCGCATTTAAAGTGAGTTCAGGGGCACCGTGCCTCCTGTTCTGTTTTCATGAAAACTATGAGTTCAACTTAAAGTCATGGATGGAAAAATGTTTGTATCGAAGCACTGAAATTAACTTTTGCAGTTAAAAACTTTAATACTTCAAGTAATATCTGAGTGTTTACTTTTTTAGAAATGAATGTTTTCTCTAAGTTTTAAAAAGTTACGGGTAAAGTAGTCTTTACTAGTGATGATATGAAATTTTGCAAGTTCAAAATATTTACCTGACAGAAAGGAAATTTTTATGTTAAGAAGAAAAATCCTCCCTTGAAATTTGAAAAAAAAGCAACTCCATTCACACTTTACACCACTGATGCATATGAATGTAAAGATAAGCAAGATTGGTATACGCACCACTTTAAATAATTTAGAATATTGGAACTCATTAATACGAAATGAAGAGTGAGGAAAAAATTTTCTCTCGTATTACATAAAAAGAATAAACCTCGAGGGCCTAAATTAACATGTAAATAAGTACTTATAACGAAGATGATACAATACTTGAGCAGCAAAAATTTATACATAATGATTATATAATCCCAGTTGCAAAAGAAGAAAAGAAAAAATTGATTCTGAAATTCAGATGATACCTTAAACTGGAAATATGATTATCTCTTTAAGGTACTGTGGGACTGGGACTTGCTAAAATTTATCTCCCTGAAGCAGGAGTATAGGAAGAAAATTAATCATAAAAACAAAACGCGAAGAATGCCACCTCTTCACAAAAATCATCATTGGTAATAACTATTGGTTACAAAATAGAAATTTCCTTTAAATTTTGGTTTCATGAGATTCAAGTCTTTAGAGATTGATTTCATTACAGCAGGAGATGATTTTGACCCTAATGTTTACATTGTGCCGCTGTAAGAGCATACATTATGATACATAGCATCTCACAATACAAATGATTTACAAAATAAATGCTTTTCCATTATTTGAATTTTTACCACTGAAACGGTTTAAGTAAAGAAAATTAACTGCTATGTGGTTTTGGAACAAGGAAAATCGAGGAAAATTTGATTTAAATGAATACTTGGTTAGAGAAATAGGGTGCAGCACCCTCTTTTTTTTCTCTTTTCTTTATTTATAAAAAAAAATAAAAAATACTGTAAATCTACCTCTTTGGTTTTTTGAGATTCTTCAATTAAATGAATACATGTAGTAATTTAATTAGACCTTGCAAGTATGTATTGGAAAAATAGATTATAGCAAAAGTGTATAAAGTTTGACGATAACTTTTTGTAGACTATAAGATGTCAGTTTATTTTTGACTTGGCAAGCCACACGATGATATTTTCAATTTCAAAATAGGCATCGTATTAGAAATTATCAGAAATATTACCAATTGAAAAATTAATATTAAATGCAAAATGTACTTTATATTAACCTAAAAGCTTTGGAACTTCACTTATAATCACTCACACACGGCATACATAGAAGTGTATGATTTCAAGGAAAAATATAAAATAGACTGAACTAGATTCATTAAATACTTTGAAAATAATAATAATTCCAAAAATGCTGAAACTATCACAAGGTCTTTGCAAATGGTTCAATTAATATGAACTCGCATTTTTTTATTATTTCTGGTGAAGGGAAACACCAGTTTTACAATATTATGCGGTGGAAAAAAATCTGTTGGCACTTACTTGCTACATGGAATCTTTGGAAATAGGTACAAGATGAAATGATAGGAGACTCAGTTTGAAACTGAATAGCAAACCTAGAAGGGTATTTGGTGTTTCTTAGTTTAAAGTGTTATGGTAAGTTTCAATTGTTTTTTTCTTCATTGTCTTCTTGCTTGAAGAAAAATAAAGTAGTGCTTAATTCCTGGCAAATGTTCTTGTGTCAAGTAATAACTACAACAGATACAGAATTTTCCTTGCCTCATAATTTGCTATCAAGAATATCTCCTGGTTTTTCAAGAGCTTTTTTTCTTTCCAAAACGGCATTGAGCAACTTTCTTCGGGGCCCCATTGGGATTCCAAGTGTAATCAGATCTTCATCACTGAGCATGAGTAAAGCTTCCAAATCTATTCGCTGCTCGATGAACTTTGGTGTGTACTCACTGACACCAGTGGCTACAAGAAACCGTTGCAGTGGGAACCACTGTGAGCTATCATTGCTGCTTACATTTTCTTCTGTAAAACACAGACATTTGTATTAGTTGTACCAAAATTAATAAAACCTGAAACTGTTAAAACTCTGGTTTGATGTGACAGTAAAGAGATTTTAATGGTGCCAAAATGTTCTTCAACACATTACTGAGCAGTAAAGCCAAGTGCCAATAAATCAATTTTTGCCTATAACATATCTTTGTCCATGAACGGTCATTATCAAGATTCCAGCACTTTGATGAACTGTTTAGAATTAGATTCCACCACTTTTATGAACTGTTTAGAATTAGAAAAACTAACATCGAAGCACTTTATTATTTTTGCTTCGTTCCTGAGGCTTAATTCTATAATAAACCTAAAATGAGCAACTTACCGTCACTAATATTCAGGTCTTCCTGTCCCCAAAGTAGTATATTTTCGCTATTGCTACTATGCTGTTGATTCCTTTTCGCTAAACTTCCCGCACTACCAATACTACTGTTTTCAATTTCTGTGTCTGAGCGCGGAATGGCATTCAAAGTAGCCGTGATGCTGAAATAAAAAATTAGAGGAAAAATGTTGATTACTCTGGGTATATTTTTTAAGTTGGCAGCTTATCTGAATGGATTTTAGAGAGGCTATTTTGAGATGTTCATGTTGTTAAAAAGAGACCAGACCAATCCACACAGGTCAGCCATTCCCTAAAATTTTGAGAATTTTAGGGAAGAAGGAGTGAGAAACTTAGAAGGGAGAAGTTTTGGGACTCTACTACAAATTGACAGAGGGAAATTTGAATGCGATGCATTTCTTATCGTCGTCTCCTGCACAAAGGAACGTATCTAACCTGGGCTGTTAAAAATATTCTCCGAACTTTTAAGCGAAACTAGTTAGTAATGAATAGGTAAAGTAGAGGAATTGTTGAAATACAGCACTTAGACCATGGGGCTATGTTAATTTCACAATTGTGGCGCCCACCAAATGCTGAGGATCTTAAAAAAATGGAGGAAATCTTCTTTGATAGCCTGTTTACTTATCTCCATTTTCTTTGATTCCAAGGATCTAGGTTAGATTCATTCATTTATTGCGACATATTCTAATTTTGTACTTGAAAATGAGCAAAGAAGTATGTACCTACCTTTTTCTGAAGGCGACACTGCCAAAACCGGGTCTGTCAAACATACTTCCTTGATCATGGAAGTGATTGTTTTCATTTCCGTTGGTTTTAATATTATTAAGATAATCTGGTTGTGAAACAGATCTTTGAAGTTCAAAAACATTTGTCAGTCTACCTCTTTTCCCAGCTGAAACAATGAAAAAGTAGGCAGACAAATGAGGAAGAGGTATAACATCTTAAAAAGTCTCCTAAGAACATGGCATGTGTACTGACAAGGGGAACTTTCCAAGCTGCCTCCTCCGCTCGGTCTGAAAAAATTCGTACAAACTCTTTGGATGAATCCATTGGGACGGTACTTTTTTGCTTTTTCCATTGCACCCTGGAAACACCCCCCAAAAATTTTGAAAAGTGCGGTTTTAAGTGCGTACTACGCGCGTTCAAAAAATTCGAGAAAGAGGGAAAACAGTAAATGTTTTCACCAATCACATTTTTAGGTTTATAAAATCTGTGCAGCCTAAAAAAAGTTTCTCATAAAAAGAAAGGTTACTTTATACAGGTTATCAAAGTGTAAAATTGTGCACATTTCAGACTTCACAAATAATTATGGATACCCAGATTATTGCTAACAACACAGAACTAAAGAGGGACAGAAAAACACTTGGAAGTTCATGGTTCCTATGAGCACTCACTGGCAGATTAATTGATACATCAAGCTGACGAACATCATTAGTTGCTTTTAGGGAAAATATTTACAGTTTTAACAGATATCATACAAATAAAAAGCCTGGTTTGAAGACAATGATAATGTTTGATTTGAAGAGCATTTGAAAGAATCCTTTCAGATTCAATGTTCATGATTTGTACAGCTCTAAGATTACACAGGATTTTACACAGTAAAAGAAGATAGAATGCAAGAGGTTACTTACCTTCCATTTTATTATCATAAGAATTGACATAAATTATCTGAGAATCCCGCATCTGTCCTGTAAGACTTCTAGTTGATTTAGTTCCATCTTCCTCTACCTGCATTTGAACACAAAAAATTATTTATTTTTTTTTAATTGCAATTATATTGCGTTTTAATATGTGTTTTTTTTTATGTTGGAATTTTCATTAGAAAGTATAAAGATGCTTGGAATAAGAAGTTTTGAGTGACATAAGGTGGTCTTGATTTTTTCTTTGTTATTGAAAAAATCATACTTTTTATAGGCACATATTCCTAGGACCAACAAATTTTTTGCATACAAATAGAGAGTTCAATATCTTACTAACAAAGATACTCCCAATGCGAGCCACATATCTTGATTTGCGGCGTCGCAGGCTTCCTGTTATACTCTATTTTTTAAATAGTAAACTTCTGAACGTCAATTCTTGAAAACTGCAGAGATTTTCTGTCTCCAGAGAAAGAAAATTCTGTTAAAATTTCAAGCTACAATGTTAATTTCTTCTAATTTAAAAAAATAAAATAAGAGTGGAGATTTTATAGCATTGCGAACGAACTTCGTAATTTGGAAGTTTCGTTAATGTTACGTCAAAAATATCTATTCTTAATGTTCTTCTAAAAGTGTCATCATTTTGAAATTCTGGGTGAGGTACCCAGAACACTCGTGATTTTCAAATAAAAACTCATTACATTGAGATTCTCTTGTCTTAGCAACGTCATATATTCAAACACTTACCTCTCTAACTTTGAAATCACTTCCATTTTTACTCTGACTGCCATTTCTCAATTTTCTGTCTAAAATTTTTTTCACTCCAACAACTGCATTGGCTGGTTTCTTGGACATTGTTCCATTACTGGCGCCTCCACCCACCAACTGAGTGAAAGACTGACTGCTGGTAGTATCAGATACAGTTCGCCTGACACTGGACAAAAAAGAGGATAACAGAACAAAAAATTAGTGTGAAAAAAGCTTTAATGACTTGCAATAAAGCCCCTCAGAATTTGAGAACTGGAGCAACAGGATAGGATTAAACGAATCAGAATAAATAAGATCTTTCAATATTTAATGAAGTAGCTTTTGTATTATGGTAGCTACTAATTCTTTACAGAAAAAATGTCTGTTCCAGTTCTTTTTTCTACATATTTGCTTTTACGAATTTTTTAGTACTACATTTGATTACCTTGCTACAATTACCCAGATGCTTTAATTTGTTCTCATACTTTTCAAACTTTGACAAGAATGTGCAGATGAAACTTTAATTGAGAGTGACTTATGGCTTTCAATTTTGAAAACTTTCTCGATACACGGTGCCCCTGAACTCACTTTAAATGCGACTTTGTTGTACATCAAAAATTCAAGTTGGAGGTTGTAGTGGGGTACTCCCTGATGGTTTTTTGGGCAATTTCGAAATAGGTTGTCGGAGCTCCTCGAAAAATAATCGCATTTTTGTGGTTTTTTAGGGGTAAAACAGCAAAATTGGCCTCCGGGCGACAAATTAAACCCCCTCTCCCTCATCCTTGCCTTGACCGATCTGAATTTTTAGTATGTTTTTACCTGGTATAAGATGGGACTTTTCTGAAATTTTCATGCCCATACAAATTTTTTTGCTCCCGCGGCAGCGTTGCCAAGTTGCGGACTCCAAAATATCGAATTTAATGATAAAATGAAGGTTTCGGAGTGTGATTTCCATTCAAAATCAAAAATTCAAATTGTAAGTTGTAGTAGGGTACTGCCTGATGGGGTTTTGGCCAATTTCGAAGTAGAGTGTTTGAGATTTTTGAAAAATAATCGAATTTTTGCGGTTTTTAAGGGTAAAATAGCACACTGAGCACGGGGCGGCAAGTTGAACCTTTTCTCTCCCATCCTTGCCGTGACCGATCTGAACTTTTAGTATGTATTAACCTGGTATAAGATGTGACTTTTCTGAAATTTTCATGCCCATACAAAATTTTTTGCCCCCCGCGGCAGCGTTGCCAATTTGCGGACTCAAAAATATCGAATTTGATGATAAAATGAAGGTTTCGAGGTGTGATTTCCTCCAAAATGTCACGAAAAATGTGCAATCTGAGAGTTTTCGTTAAGAAAAGGCATATTTGAACAATTTAGAGTTGCAGTGTTGCCAGCTTTTGATTTAAAATTCGTCAAAATGACCCAAATCGCGTTGCAACCTCGAGCGCTGGATTTTTATTTCGTTCAGAATTGGTTATTACGGTTCTTCTGTACTCTATGCATTTAGGTACCATGAAAATTATGCCATTACTTACTTGATGGGTGCAGCTAACTCAAAAAGAGAGGCCGGATAAAGCGATGAGTCGGGGGAAAACGAGCGGTTCGGGTTGACAGAAAGTTCTTAAATCTACTCCATCACCAGAAAGTAGAATTTGAGAACTTTCTCCCACCCCCCAAACCTTATCCCTGTTGCAGTCAATCCTTTGAACATCTGATCTGAAATTTTGCCCCCGAATTTTTACCAAAAACATGAAAAATAAAAACACGTTTTTGTGCAAAAACACATCATGTTTTTGGTAAAAATTCGGGGGCAAAATTTCAGATCAGATGTTCAAAGGATTGACTGCAACAGGGATAAGGTTTGGGGGGTGGGAGAAAGTTCTCAAATTCTACTTTCTGGTGATGGAGTAGATTTAAGAACTTTCTGTCAACCCGAACCGCTCGTTTTCCCCCGACTCATCGCTTTATCCGGCCTCTCTTTTTGAGTTAGCTGCACCCATCAAGTAAGTAATGGCATAATTTTCATGGTACCTAAATGCATAGAGTACAGAAGAACCGTAATAACCAATTCTGAACGAAATAAAAATCCAGCGCTCGAGGTTGCAACGCGATTTGGGTCATTTTGACGAATTTTAAATCAAAAGCTGGCAACACTGCAACTCTAAATTGTTCAAATATGCCTTTTCTTAACGAAAACTCTCAGATTGCACATTTTTCGTGACATTTTGGAGGAAATCACACCTCGAAACCTTCATTTTATCATCAAATTCGATATTTTTGAGTCCGCAAATTGGCAACGCTGCCGCGGGGGGCAAAAAATTTTGTATGGGCATGAAAATTTCAGAAAAGTCACATCTTATACCAGGTTAATACATACTAAAAGTTCAGATCGGTCACGGCAAGGATGGGAGAGAAAAGGTTCAACTTGCCGCCCCGTGCTCAGTGTGCTATTTTACCCTTAAAAACCGCAAAAATTCGATTATTTTTCAAAAATCTCAAACACTCTACTTCGAAATTGGCCAAAACCCCATCAGGCAGTACCCTACTACAACTTACAATTTGAATTTTTGATTTTGAATGGAAATCACACTCCGAAACCTTCATTTTATCATTAAATTCGATATTTTGGAGTCCGCAACTTGGCAACGCTGCCGCGGGAGCAAAAAAATTTGTATGGGCATGAAAATTTCAGAAAAGTCCCATCTTATACCAGGTAAAAACATACTAAAAATTCAGATCGGTCAAGGCAAGGATGAGGGAGAGGGGGTTTAATTTGTCGCCCGGAGGCCAATTTTGCTGTTTTACCCCTAAAAAACCACAAAAATGCGATTATTTTTCGAGGAGCTCCGACAACCTATTTCGAAATTGCCCAAAAAACCATCAGGGAGTACCCCACTACAACCTCCAACTTGAATTTTTGATGTACAACAAAGTCGCATTTAAAGTGAGTTCAGGGGCACCGTGGATAGTCAGTAAAAAACCGTGATAATTGTTGAAAGAACCATTATTTTCCATGTGCGAGAAATTTAACCAGCCTTATCTAGAATTTTTGAGACACAACAGGACATTTTAGAATAACATATGTAGTGGGGCAATCTCTCTGTTCTTTAATCATGCTTTTGTTAAAGTTATCATTCCTTATGAAAATCTGTGGATTTCCTAGGAATCCAGTTTCATGGGCTCCTACAGTAGCTAAACTTGACAGCAAACCCTGTTTAAACGGTATTTTGAAATGAATGGTGCTCCATATTTAAGAATGAGCAAGTTAGAGAGAGATAAATTTTCTAATCAAGTAACCAAATTTTCTGTGATTTATTAGTTTTTTTCCCTAATAATTACATGCCTTGAGTTCTCTAAATTTTTCTGAGTGTTTCAGAACTAAAAACCCTCCATTGAATACAAGGAGGGTATCTTGCTCTCTGTGCAGTTACAGTGAGATAAAAGCAAGATCACTAAAATGAGTGTTGCATAGGAGAAACTTCAAGGGATGCAAAGCAGATTCTAATTTCTGTGCTAATGTAAGGACTATAAAAATATACCTGAGAGGCAATGTTGGAATTGGCGTTTCATTGTCAATCTTATTTCCTCCCAGAAGTTCTTTCTCAACTTTTTTTATTTGTTTCTTCTCTTTTTCTCTTTCTTTCTTCATTCTTTCTTCATACTTTTTTCTCCGTCGCTCAGCGTCTTTGAGTGCCTTTTCTTTTTTAGCATCAACCTTCTTCCTAAAAAATTTTAATAAAAGAGAATACGTTGAATTATATCAATACAATTTAGAACAAGCACACTGATTACATTTTACATGTACAGTAAGAGAGAACTGAGCAGCATTCAATGTTAGCATTTCATTGTTAGTGCATAATAAGTTGGAAAAGTCTTAATTAATGGAGATATTTGAAGACAAATCTTTAATGGCTAAGTGCCAAAAAATCGAAAATTCAGTTGCACACGTCACTTCATTCTAAACACCAAGGACATCACGCAGCATAAAATGTTAAATGCCACTAACACTAGAAAAGATTTTGTACTAGAACAGAGCATACAACGTCTGAAAGACCATCGTTGATAGGTATGTGCTGCACTGCACTGCAGCAGTTATCAGAAATGAAGATGTGAATGACTCAAAATCAAGTTTCTGACACTTAGCCTACTAGTGATGATGCGTTTTCAATTAGATTCCAAAATATTCCACTTAAGATAAACCTGCATTTAAATTTATTGACAGTTTAGAAATAAGAAAAGCTGTTGATCCTTGTTTCATACCTCATAAACCTAAATTGTGGTATCATTATAATGCAAGGCTACAGACACTTTGAACAGAGGTGAAAGAGAGGGATTACTCTCTCAAAATGTCATTGTTTATTCAGCATATACTTTCCATAGCTCCAAAAATAAAACGATCTCCTATATCTTGAGCAGGACTTACTTGTTTGTCATTTCCTGTTTGGCTGCAGTCTTATCAAGGTAATCAAGGATTTCTTTTCGCCCATTCATTGCTGCTACTTCCATAGGAGTGTGCATGTCATGATCCAGTGCCCATAAATTAGCATCAAATCCAACTAAAAAGGAGACACAATTCATGTGACCTCTAGCTGCAGCAATGTGCAAAGCAGTTTGTCCAAAGTGATAGTTAGCCTTCTCCACATTTCCTCTGCGACATAAAAGGTAAAAATAAAAACATTTCTAAATAACAGACTGGTGACAGTTACAGGTAAAGAAAACCGGATTTTAAGGATTCATCATCTACAAGGCTTAAACTATTATATTGCAATTATATCATCTAACGTTACCTCCGGAAATGGCAAGCTCCGATAAAAATTTCGTGATTTTGGGGTGTGTCCTTCGTCCTGCATGAGAATGAAGTTCACTGGGAGTGACAATTCATTTTAATTTCTGGAGTATGCCAAAGAGTGGTGAGATCTGAGAGGAATTCACGGTAGGTAATGAAAAATATAGGTACAAATATCTTTAAATTGAAACTCTGGTAAAAATATAAAAAATCCCTGCGGTTGAATTTAAAACTAAGGATGATTATGTGCTTGAGTCATTCAGAAAAGATGAAAAACTTCGACCAGATTGAAGCTACTTTGTATCCTTGATTGGAAAATTACTGATAAATTTTTTGTGATGAATGGCGATCATAGGTACGAATCATGGTCCGATGGAGGATTCATTGCAACCCATACATAAAGTGAAATTAAGCAAATTTAAGCAAAATTAAAAATTTCAAAGTTCTAATTTAGAAAGACTAAAAGGATCTATGTAGAATCCTCTTTATATTCTGCAGGAAAAGATCTGCTACACGCTTTCTGTCCAGGAGTTGGAGGAGGCAAAAATTTAATGTTATCACAGATAACTTACCCGCGGCCAACCAGTAGGCGAAGTGCTTCCAGATTCCCTTCAAAGGCAGCCCATAGAGTTGGGGTCATTCCGTCCTCATCTTTGGCATTACAATCTCTTTTGGTTGTTTCTCGTAGAACATCAAGGTTACCATCCTGAGCAGCTCTACAAAATAATGTGAGATTTAGAATTTTTAGCAATGACCAGCTAACACCTTGATTAACTCAAACATGAGGTAATGGCTAAAATTTCAAAACACGATTAAGCGTAGCACATTAAAAATTACTATATTGATTCCTAAAAAAGTGAATTGACTTCATTTCAATAATATTTTTCCTTACTTAGCACACTTATTAAATTTTCCAAAACGTTGGATGAAAACTGATAAAAAGATAAGTAAGTGGGTGACCAGGATAGTGATTTAAAAAAATAATAAATTACAAACTGTGATTTCACAAACTTGATGCTAGGATAATAATTGCATTTTTTAACTTTAGCCATCTAAAGGTAGTTCATTGTAATAATAAGCCGCTCTTAATATGTATTTCATATAGTGCTTGCACTCCTAAAATACATATGTATTGATCATTACGTATTAAGTAGATATCAAATTATAAGTAATTTATGAGACTTACTTTGGAAACCTTTAATTCTTATATTTTCTTTTCTAATAATGGAGCACTAATGTAATTCATTACGAATGAAAAACCACCAATCATGCTTTAATTAATCTTGAGTCCAAAGTTAAAACCAAAAGAATGACTATGATAAATGAAAAGAATCAGGAACATAATTAACAAGACTCAAAATTTAAAATTTAAAATTGAGTTGTGATTAAAATGCTGACATGTCTTAGAATGTGTGAGCATTTTAAATTTTGAATTGTGAGTTTTAGTTTAGTTTATTGTTGTCCTAATTTTTTTCTTCGATAATTGATTGGCTCAAATTTTTTTACTTCTGTTTTTATCTATTTTTGTAACGTCCAGTTTCCCTTCTCCATATGGGTATCATCACTTGTTTTAATGGAAAAAAAAATTATTGGTTTTATTGAAGTTAAATACTAAATATATTAAATTGGTGATTCAAATTAGTAAATTAATTTAGGAGTGATTGATGAATTGATATTGCATTAGCCAAGAGATAAAAGTTTCAGAGACCACCAGTTCTAAATGGAGTGCTAAATGATTCGTCAGTAGGTGGTATTTGAATTTAAAATTACCTAGCCAACAGGAATTTCAGAGAAAATAGCTAACATCTCTTTTCATAGAAAAAATAATAAAAGGGGAGGGGGAAGAATAGAAAAAACAACTTCTACAAAGTGCAAAATCAACGAAGAAAAAATCAGTGGATATGTGATGACGATACACACAATACTGATTCTAACTGAGATATAGTAAAGAGAGGCGAATTCGAATCATGATTGAAGTTGAGATGAATATAAAGATTGAGTGAAGCCCCTGTCAAATTACTAAAAATTACAACAATTTGTATTTTCAAAACTAATGAAAAATGAAGCTTTGCTTATTTGAGTGGTTACAATTTGTTAACTGTATTTGTATGCAAGAGATCTTCAGTATTAAGCACACCAAAAGCAATTCAATAGGTGACTTCTGTGATGAAAATAAGAAAAAAGGTAGACATGAAATCTTGATTCAGTTGCAAATAGGTATGAGTGCAAAATAAAGAGGAAAGGAAAGAAAAGTATTAGTAGGTGCGATACTTACAAGAGTAAAAAAATAAGTCAGGAGCTACATTCATGGGGCATGTATAAAGTTACTGAGAAACATTTAAAAACTCAAAATTTAAAAAACCAAAGAAAACACATAACTACACAAAAAAGTTTTGTAACAAAAATAATCTAAGCAAAAACTTTAACCCCCGGGGATTTTCAAAACCACAATCAAGGCAAAAATGGACTGATTGATAAAATTAGATGGGTACTCGAACACTTGCCAAGGTAAACGAACCTACAATGTGGTAGTAAACCACGACGCAGACCTGCTTTTAAGAGGGTCTGTTAGGGAAAACAATAAATATAAAAAAATCCTACATACCTATTACCTCATTGAACTCTGCTGTCTCATAATTTGTTCATAGATGTGCGTACACAATCCTACATATTCTTACAACTACGTACCTACTAAGTAATGTTCTACTTAGGCGCATGAAAATTGTTTGCTTTGCAGAGGGATTAATCTGCTTGTACGGCTAGGTGGATGCAACGATTTTACTTACTTTTAGGGGAAAAGATCCCTGTAATACTACACTAAATGGAATAAGCACATTTGGCACATTGACAAACGTTCTAAATTTGTATCATGAACAGCAAGAATTGCTTGCTCGTTTCTTTAAGTGCAATTGAATTACCAAACCCCATTAAATTTCAATCTGTCCAGATAGAAGCAGATAGAGAAGTAATAGTGGTGACAGAAAAAACTTGATACATCATTTTGTTGACTAATGTACACTTCTGAGTGCAATCAGAAGTAAATTTCGGTGATTAAACTTAAAAGTGCGGTTAAGTACGTGCTATGTGCTCATTCAAAAATAAGTAGCGTTTAGTTTGGCCTTAATTTTCAGAAACGTACTATTAAATTGCATAAAAAAAATTACCAAAACTCAACTGCAAAATGAAGCAGTAAATTACTTACTTGTGATATCGAGTGCTCATTGTGGAATCCTGCACGAACTAAGAGGCCGAAGTGCCGAGTGACAGCTCTTGGTGCAACGTGTTCTGCGACCTTCTCCACACTAGCCTTGGGTCGTAATTTTAAACTTTAGGAACAGTACTAGGTACTGCGATTAGTATATGTCCAAGTTTAAGGGCAATAAACAGACATAATCGAGCACATTTGTGAAAATGAGCAGGACTGATAAGAGGTCATTGTCTCCAAGTCACAGAAAGAAATGATAGAAAGTCTATAAATTCATCGTACTTACGATGAGTGGTATAAAAGATAGAAAATTGATAAACACTGCAAAATCTGTGCAAGATATCAAGGCACAGAGGAAAAAGCAAGTAAAACAAAAATTGATAAACACTAAATGAGAGACTGAGAGGCTCCTTCAGCTGAAGGGGGACTTTTGAGCTTTGAAATCGCAATTGGATACGTAAAAGACGGACTTAAGCACACATATTTCCGACACTTGAAAAAATATACGTAAATACAGGATGAAAATCAAGGGAAACCACGGATAAAATGTTCAAATAAGAGACGAATTACTTGAAAAAAAAGGAGAAAAGTAAGAGGTGAAATCTATGTTGTGGCAATTTTACCTATCAGTGATGCAATGTAGTAAAATAGATTGAAAAAAAGTCGTAATATATTTCTTGTCCAAAATTTGATTTGTTCCTCTCCAAAGACCCGCAAAGTTCCAAGAAACTCTTAAAAATTTATAATCTATTTTCGAAGTTCCTTTAATTTCTTTTAATAGATGTCAACTGCAACTTCCTTTTCTTCTTCGCATGAGTCATGAGCCAAATCATGAAAAATTATGTTGGTCACCTGCAAAAGTTTCAGCGGCAAGTTTTAAATTGTAAGAAACAATTTGTTTCTTTATATCACAAACTAGAAGTGGAACACTGTATACATTATTGTTAAATAAATTGAGTAAAGTGTTCGTGCCAAATTTTAAAAGAGTGTGCCGAGTGTTCCTCTTACAATAGGAGCCCATGTGTTTTGTCCTGATTTATAATGCTGTGGTAATTTTTGCATTGAATGACTAAAAGTAGATAATCAATGTTCATACTATGTTTCTAAAAAATGTCCATGAAAGTTCCTCCCTTCGCAGTAAAGTTGTCTTGTTTTTTCTCGAAAAAATAGAACAGGAGTAGAAATTCATTTTGAGACGCAATTCAATTGTGATATCGATGTGATTTTTCAATTCAGGCATCAATATTCTGCGAATGATATACATACGTATTTGCGGATGCTAGTCAGCTCTCTGTTGGATAATGATTTTTGTTGTTCTGAGTTTGTCAAAGTTTTTTTGAAAGTCAAAGGCTTTACCAACATCTTCATGCAATACCTAGTCAGCAATCATTGTCCGTATTTTCCAAGAGTTTGTGAGAATTTGACTTCACGCTCTTTCTGGCTAACTTCAATTGAATACAGATAGAACTGGAATCAACTGATCCAACTGCATTGTCTGATTTTATCTCATAATTTGGTTTTCTTTTGTTTTTTTCTTTCTTTGACAGAGAATTAAACTATGTGACACCTTTAAAGTTTCTGTATAAATACCCAACATCATGAAGAATAGACGCATAGTATTTTTGCACAAGTACGTTGACAGTTTAAGGTGTACGTTATATTAATGTATTAATTAATATTATTAAACTCATTACCATTACATTTTGGGTTTAGATAAGAGAATTTTTTTCATACTGTTTTGTGAAAATGAACAAAAACTTTCAGCATAATCGACGGCATCATCTTGAAACTCTTGACGATTAAGTTTTTTACTAATTTAAACAATAACTCTCTATCAAGCAGACATAAACTGAAAGGCAGGGAAAACTAAGAATTTTTGGTGATAAATCAGCTAGGCAATTTACATACTGACTTTGAACCATTTTCAACATTTTTTATTTTTTTTCCAGCATTTTCTAGGAAGGACCATAAGGTAAGGACCAACATGAGAATGAGTCAGTTCCTTGTCGTCCCAAGTGAAATAGAGAGGAAGAAGAAAAAAATTCTATAATAAAATAAAATTTATTGGAAATCACAGAGAATTGGTAACAGAACCCAAAGAACAAGCATAGGTCTAATTAATAATAATAAAAAAAGAAGAAACTTACTTCTGGATCACTGAGCTTAAAGATAATACTTAGTAGGAATAAATTTGGATTGATTTCCTTCTGATTATGCCATTAAACTGATGACTATCAACAGTGCGTAGAAAATGTTGCTATTAAAGTCACTAATGTTAAAGTTAAAGACCATGATAATTAAAAAATCCGTACTGCTCAAAGTTTTTAGCAGAATATATAAAATGCACTGGTGAAAAACTAATCTGTGATCATGAATGTCTTGCTGAAGAGGGGCCCTTTAAGTTCAGATAGAGATGGTACCATGAAATTTTTTTCTATTGATATTCCCAAAATAATGAGTAGTGAAAAAATAACATTATATAAAAGAAGAGAAAAAATCCGGTTCACGGGCGTTGCTTGTGCATACTAAGAAAAACACCATCTGATTAGATTAGCGGGAAGCAAGAGAAGAAGCATACTCTGCTTACAAATCAGAGGAAACGAAAGTTTTTCCAAAGCAACATAAAAATGCCCATCAAAAAGCCATCTTTTAGATAAAAATGAAGCGACTCCTCAATTTTAGATATAAATTGACATTACAAGCATACTACTTGGAAAATTTCATTGGACAATTAAAGCATTGATGAGGGCATTTTTTCACATTGAATTTTTCATGTATCATGAGTATTCATGAGTAGGTATATGTATTGCTCTTTGAAAACTTTTGACACCTTCTTGAAAGCACTTGTCTTTTAAACATAAATCCTCTCACTTTGAATAATCTGGTGATAAAACTGAGACAAATTCTGCTTATATCTTGACATCTCTAACAAAGTGGATCAATACAAACTGATGCTTCAAGACTAAATTTTTGTTCCATTGAGTATATCTTCAATAGGAGTAGCTGGACATGGCAACTGATTTCTGTTTCAAATTTCTTTTATGATTCAATTAGGAAATGACGCGCCAGAGCTAACAAAATTCAAACTCTGATTGATTTCAGAAAAAGATAGCTTAGAATAAAAAAATGAAAGTCTTTTGAAGGAGGAAGTTAACAGGTTAAGAAAAAAAAAGTCAACAAGACATTCAAAGCTAATACAAAACGAATCTGGAAGAAATTGAAAAACGTTGACGTAGTATTCAAAATTATTTTTATCACAAATAGTCCTGATATTGAAGGATTAAAAATGATCCATTTCCACACACCTAGCGCTTTTTTCGCCTTCTTTGAGAAGTGGCAGGTTTGTCAGCTGCATTACTACTACCAACAACTATACGACCTTCTGCTATTTCATCTCGGTTGTCACTGTTTGCTATGAAGTTTTGAGCTTCCAAAGTGAACATTAAATCCCTGATCTGCTCTTTCAACTCCTTCATTTCCTGAAAAAAAGAGGATAACATATGGAGTAAATTGCCATGTAACTGAGGAATTACTTTATACGTGAAAATTAAAATGGAAGTTAAAATAACTTCATAACTAGGGAGCAATTATAAAGGATTCTAAATACCCCTAACAAAATATGATAAAAATATAGAAAAATACTACATACTTGATTATAATGCAAGAGAAACAGTGTTCCAGTTCAAGCAGGTTATGAAAAATCAATTCCCACTTCTGGCCAAATAAAAAATCGTATCCTTCATTTTTTGAGTATGGACGATTTGCGATTAAACTTATTGAAAGATAGTCTGTCTTGATGACCAAAAATTAAATCACTTCTCAGTCCCTCTCAAATACGGCTATGACTGTGTGAGCCTGGTTTTTTGGTTTGAGATAAGTTCCAGTTTTTTCTTCACTTTTTGAGTAAAGTCTGAGTTTTTTAAGCTTATAAAATGACTATTAGTCTTAAGTCAAATCAAGTTTGAGTAATTTGGAGTTTAAACACAAAAAATTACTTACAACACCAATTTTTTTTCTACATTTTGATTGCGAATTAATTCTGTATTTTCATTCTGTTTTTTTCCTCTAACTTAATCCTTATCGATAAAACACGAAATTGCAATGCTCACAAAAAACAGCTTATAGCAATATTATACGCACTTAAATGTCAAAAAGATGAAAACCGGATTTGGGCAAGGTTGCCCAATGCTTTCAGTTTAATGCCTTAATTGGTACAAGATGCATAGAGATGCATAGTGCCAAAGAAGAAAAAAATTACTTTTGGCAAAAATGTCACTCAACATACTGCAGTTGTATTTTCAAGAATTGTTGAAAAATTTGGCGCTTCAAATAGTTATAATTTGGTCAAGAGACAAATTTGCCGAGGCGCAAAATTTGTCAGAATTTTGTGGAACGAAATCTTAACAAGGCATTTTATGCTACTACATGATGAAAGGGCGCCTTGCACAAAGTGCATATCTGATGCAGCTGCATACTTACCGCCTCTTGTGTCCCCCATACTGGTATTTAGCAAAAAAAAAAAAAGAACCAACGCATAATAACGAGGATGCAAAATACCTATTCTTTTTCTTGGTGGGCTACAACTTTTCATTCATCAGGAAAACCCCAATCCCAGTATTCTTGGCTCGAGAAAACTAAAAAAAGCTTGAGTCATTGGCAATTGAGTTGTGTCGCATACTTACTGGAGCCACGACCTACCTTGTTGAATTCTTGGGACAGCTTAACTCACCTCTGATTGCAAGTACACTCACAGCCCAAGTGATGTACAGTATTGGCTAGGTTATTATAATTTTTTTTGTTATCTGTTTTTCGTCATAAAAGTCCCTGCGTCAGTAATTTCACTATTTTAGTATTTTGTGAAGTTCTGGTGACTCTTACCTCATCTCTGCTGGATTTGAAGTCTTTAAATTCTTTTTCAAGATTGCTGAATCTCGATTGCCAGGCTGTCTGATTTTCTTGGAGGGCTTGACTCAACTGTCTCTCATCACTCAGCTCTGACTGTGTTTGAGAAAGACGAGTGCTGATTTGATGGAGCTGAAATCAAAGGGAATGAAAGGTATTAGGTTCAGATATATAATTAAAAGAGGTAAAATAATTCAGGAAAAGGAGAGAAGTAACCAAGCGCTCATCCACCTGATATCCTACTTCTGCGGAGACAATCAACAATCAATCAATATTGATAGGTGTATCATCTACCTTCATGAGTAATAGTGCTAATTTTAAATGTTTTACTACTAGTATGATTCTTAAAATAATGCCATTTTTCTGATTGTTGATTCTTATAAAATCAAAGAATAAAGTCATTCCATACCTTATCATAAATCATATATCTGAGAGAAGCTGTTATTTTGAAAGTTCCAAGTCTTTCCTTGACACATTTTAACACTGTAAGATGTTGAAAGCGCATATTGAAATATTTTCATTAAGATCAGGACTCAGCAGGAAATTTTGATGGAAATTGATACATGAAAATTTAAAACTAACCGGTTCTAAGCTGAACAGGGCTGAGTTTAACTTGACAGATAATGCACTTCTCCTTTCAGTGATTGTAATTTTCAAAGTGGATAAGTTGGTTCTGCACTTTTGAATGCAAATTTCATTTGATACTTTCTCTGGGTGCATACTAACTTATGTGGAAATATTTAACAATTTGGGCTTGAAATTTTGTTTTCAACATCTTGCAGTACCAAAACAAGGTTGATTAAACAGAGGTTGGCTCATAGCAGCCATCTTGAGATGCACTGGAGAGAAGTTGATATGGCGCCAAATACTCGTGCTGATACGCTGTTTCTTGAGAGAAGAGATTTTTTCAGTAATTGTTGAATGTACCATTGGAGATCCTTTAATCACCATTTTAGAGGACATTTGCTTTCTGTTTGTTCTTTGCTATCATTATTCCTGATTTGGCGATGTGTTACACTCCAATAGATGCGGCAAATTATTCGCCACTACCTGATTGGTAGCAACAGTTACCAGTGATCACTGATTGGAAGTCCAAAATTCAATGGAGGTACTGCCAGAAAAGACATGCTTGGGTAATCGATATCACTGCTGATTAAAAAAGATAACCCCTAAGGTTTTATAAACTGAGGCAAATGGTCCACACGCTTGTAACATCTTGCGCCACCAAAACATTAATTAATAAAACATGCAAGGACTTACTTTTTTGTCATTGGTTTGTTTTTCTTTGACAAGAGTTGACAATTTTTGCTCCAGTTTCCTTTTTTCCTCGACAGCCTTTCGGGTAGTGTCTTTCAAGTCAGATAACTAGGGACAAAAAATTATTCAAATCATCATTAATTACTTGAAAAAGAAGATAAAACACTAACAGGAGTCTATGATGTAAATATTATGACAGCATCTTTTCTCCTCAGTTTTAAAACAAAACAATGCTATCATAGATCCCATTGATTGATTGATTTGTGCCCATTTACAGTGTGGTAGGAGGCAACTAGCTTGCATTGCATTGAAATTATTTTTTGTTTTTGTCGATGCGGCAAAATTCTTTAATGTATGTTTTCAGTTACCTCATACTTACAGGGCCGACAGGGGAGTATTACCATGACACGACGCTTGGCTCATGAAGCTGTCACTGGTAAACTGAGGGCAACTGCAAGGAAGCTTTGATCTGAAAATTTGTTTGACAATGGTTTATGAGTTTTTTTTTCTTTGTTTATCAGAGTTTACCCCTTTCCGTGTAGTTTTCTTATACAACATGCTAAGATAGAAAAGAGGCAGGAAACCTGCGTACTTAGACACCATGAAGAAAAAATTCTCAAAGTGGTTTTGCTTGATTATATCTTTCGTAAAAAATTCCTCTCTATGAAATGTCGTCAGGAGAAGAAAAAATTCTTACTTCACATAAGCGCTGTGATTCTAGACGAGATAATTTGTCTTCGAAGTACTGTCTTTGTGAGTCCAGTTGTGATGTTAGTAGGTATGTGAATTCTAATTGAACAGAATCCATTTTGTCTTCAACAGCCTATTAAAATGAGAACACAGAAAAATGTATCAGCATTATTTACAAATTTACAGGAGAGCAGTCGTTTGATTACAGTGGCTAGTTCATAATTGCTTTTTACATGAAAACACTTCAAGATTGAAGACAATTGAATTTTTTATTATAAGTTGAGCACTAAATGATAGGGTGAATAATGGTTTTCCAAGAAATAATGAGGGCTTTAAGTAGAGAAAATGAATGACCGAACAAGACAGGAATACGGAAACCACAATCTTAAATGTGTTCTTTGCCAATTTTTTTTTTTTTTTTTTTTTTTTTTTTTTTTTTTTTTTTTTGAAAATCTATTCATTTAAGTTGTTCGTTAGTTTCTCTTCTCCAAAAGTTTGGATGGCAACGTATAATTCCTTTCGTAAGTTTTCCTTATCCAAGTCTCATGATGTAGGATCAGTAATTTTCATGTTTATAATCAAGACATAGTAGTTCCTACAACAGAAGTATGTACTCAGAAAGTATTACAGAAGTATGATTTTAGTGACCATTGAGCCGAGGGGGGCATCTTCATAGGAGCATATCTCATAATTGATTTAGGTTAATTTTCGCAACACCAACATAAATAATAATAAAGGGAAAATGTAACATCAGTTTCGCTCCTATTTGTAACATCCGTTACGGCGATATATCAAGTGGACCAAGTTTAACAAAAATGCACCGAGTCACATCAAGGTTGAAGCGAGCAAAAGAGGTTTAAAGTTTTATTCATCCATAAGACTCAATAATGAGGACGAGGTTTGGAGATTGTTTTTGCATTTAAAGGATTTTTTCTTGACTTTGAATTTTAGACGAGAGAAAATTTATTACTAGTTGAATTCAAAACTACCCAAAACTCATTTTTTTCTGGAAGCAACTTGGTGCCTCTCATTAGACTTGGTCCAAATTGTACAGCACATTAAGAGACTAAGACTAAGAAAGATTCAGATTTTAAGTAATTTCTCGCTCATTATTCCGGCAGTAAATTGGGAAACTGAACTTCTGATTTTTCATCATTCTCATCCATAACTAGAGCTTTTGAATCAATATTTATTATTTGATTATCATTAGCAAATATAGGCACATACTTCACTTTTCTCTGACTCTCCTTCGACTAATTTCCCATCACCTTTGTTCATCAGAATACGATGTACAAAATTGTCACCAACATAATCCCAGACTCTATTGTTCCCAAGATGCATCGAGTAGCAATGTTGTGTTTCAACATAATGCCTGTAAAAATATAATTCAATGAAAAAAAATGTAAAAATCAAAGACTTCAAAGGATAAAAATGTAATTTTGAGAAAATGTAGAATGTTTTAGTGTTTATAGAGCAATACATACTTGAATGCTCTGTGATAAACTCTATCACACATTGATGTAATTGTAAGGTATTAAAAAAATTCTAACTGTTCTGTTCTTTATTTATTAAAGCTCATCATCTTAAGGAATAGGCACGTTTTTTAAGTTAACTGTGTAGGAACAGAGTTACCAGATGCCAAATGATCAACATTGTTCAACTGCTTTAGAATTACCACATGACTTGTGTTTTTACATATCAGTGTCCCAGCGCCAATCCAGTGATTTGCATTTTGGGCAGACACAATACGGGTTCTATGCACGTAAAACATTTGGTTGTGATACTTAAGGACAGTAACAAAATAGAAAATTTTGAAAGGTGCCTAATTCCATTTTCGTCTTAGGCCAAAAGATACCTAACTCTGCCAATAAGCAAAGTAGCCGACGAAGCAGTCGAATGACCTCACATCCGCACAGGAGGAGTGACTAGTGTGAAGATAGGAGCTTGAACTAGATGTGAAACAACCTAAGATGTTGGACTCCAAACATCTCCCAAAGCATAGTACGAACATGAGTGTGATCTTTCCATTCCACTTCACCAGTTTCTCAATATTTTGGTTGATCATGAGATTACGGCAGAAATAGGATTTATTTTAACTTGTCCTTTTGAAGGGCGATCGTTTTGACAAGATACTTACTGATAGGCATGGCCTTGAGTGTATCTGCCACAACCCACATGACCACAAATGAGGCAGATCCACAATGAATCTGCAGACTGACACTCAGAGCAAAAACTGTCAGTCACCAATTCTGGAGTTTGAACATAGCGGCAAACGGGACAGCTGAAAAATAGAAAAATAGATTGCAGATTTGATGGATTGGATGGTTTCACACTGCAGAAAGCATGGTAATTTTGTAAATTGTAAATTTTGGGTTCCTGAGGACTTTTTTAGATTTGGTGAAAAATAATAAATTTACCCTCAGTATGATCGTTTATCGATGCATTCTTTGAAAAAATATGCATTCCATTTGAAACTTCCTGTTTGGAAAGTGAAGTTACACAAGGAGTAAAATTTTAACATCATTAAGTAACAATAAAGCATAAACCTCAAGAAACAGCCTTAAATTTTAAAAAATTACTCATCACAAAAAATATTGACAAAAAATACGCCATTAAAGATTAAAACTGAAATTCAAAGTTTCCAACTGACCTTATATCCCCCCATTTGGCGATACATGTGCCATGGAAAGAATGATTGCACAAAATGGTGAGAATTCCGTCCACAGATTCGTCCATCCTTTCTAGGCATACAGGGCAAATTGGAAGCTCAGTGTGACCACTCGGTGGGATTGCACCATTGTTGTTTTCTCCAAGAACTTCCACTCGTCTCACGAAAACCAAATTGCAAACAAAGTCAGGCTCTAAAGAATTGAATGGGACGCCATTGAATAATTGATAGAATTCCTCGGCAGCTTGCTGCAAAATAAAAAGTGAAACAAAATCTTGAAAACTCCATTTGATAAAAATTGAAAGTATCCAATATAATACTCCATAGTGAATGAACGATCAAGTGTGCTTCGGTTTCAAAAACACAGATAGATGGAAAATCCAAACTTAATACATACTTTTTTATCTTAAAAAATTGTATGATTCCTAGGATTACAAAGTAAGTTAAAGGAATATCATAAGAAAAGCCTGCTGCTCATAGAGGACATCAGTTATTGCTGAGGCGCCTTCATAAGGCAAAAGAGTAGCTACACCTATTTGTATCTATTCTGTATCATCAATCAGTGCTACAGATTCAACAATAGATTTAAGAGCTTACTGGCTAGGAGGATTCCGATGGCTTTCGGTTTCTAGTTCAGCAATTTTCGTGCATGTTCTTTGAAATTGAAGCCACTGGTCAATTCAAGCATACCTAATTCCTTGGACCTCCTGGCCGTAACAATTTTTAGACTAATAGCTTGATCCTTGTTCAAATGAAAATCTATTCTTTCACGGCGAAAACGTCCAGGGCAACAAGTCTCTAGATTTAATGCATCTGCGGATTCAGTAACAAAAGTTTTCGTGACAGAATAACTATCTAGCTACTTACCTGAGTGCGAAATGTGATTAGTGTCATATACTGATTCACAACTGACCCATCACGAACAATTCGTACGCATGAAATCGTATCTTGACATGCTGCTATAAAGGATAGAAGATCATGACAAGTCATGGAGGCAGGAACGGCTAATATACAAACTGTTTGTCCAGCTTTTGATGCATTTTCCATGCTTGTTAATTTGCTGAAATTAAGAAAATAATTGCTTTTTGAAAAAACAGTAAAAAAAATAAAGAAAGGAAAGACGATAAAAACCAAGATAACATGTCAGCCTTTTAAAGTGTATCATCTACAAAAAAAAAAAAAAATGGCTAAAAATGGCTTTCTCATACTCTAAAGCTTCTCTTTCATTATTTCATTATTTAATGATTGCATCAACACAAAAGACAATGATGAGAAGTGGGGCAAAAACTTCTTTTCTGATACTAAAATGATACTATGGGAGAGATTCATATAACTTCAATACCATACTAAAGAAATAAAAAAAACTTGTTAGAAAATTGACTTTAAATCCCTTTGAAGCTCCTGTACACCTACAATCCTTCTCATACTGAGTATGCATGGTTCTTATAATTAAGAGGAGGCTTCCACTCAGGTAGTACTTAGTGTTCTTTCCTACTTCTACTTCAAAACCCAGATCTAACAGCTTGTGAAGCAATACCTACAGTGCACTTAAGAATGGGAAAAAAATCTTTCAAGATTGAGGATAGGACTAATCATTACTTTTTCAGCTGAGCACCACAAATCAATCGGTTTGTTGCACACAAACCTACAAAAAAATGAGTGGACTTCGTGTTTGTCAAACCAACCAAAAATAAAGATGCTCGCACAAGAAGTTGGAGATCCTCTCCTTGAAAAAGACGTTGCCAGTTTTGTTTCAATCCTTTTAAAATTCCCTGCATCTGAGGGCACTTTTTTCCTTGTCATTGGCAAACAGGTTTGCCTAGATATAGGTTTGAGGAAACCTAAAAGGCTATGCCTATCTGGAGTTGCATTTCCGCAAGTGGATTTGATTAAAGCTTTAAACTTACTGACAACTTCCGTTACATGACGAAATTCTCTTTGGGCGACAGTGCACCTGCAACACTTGGTTCTCATGCTGGCTGCATTGATGACCACATCCACCTCCCAAGGTGCGTTGAAAAGTGAATGGATGCGAACGTTGGCTAAGCAACTGAGTATGGTTTTTGACTTCCGTAAGGCATTTTTCTCCTTTGAATTGCAACATTGTAGATAAGGTCAAAAAATTTGGCCAAATTCATTTGTGGAAATTTGCGTCCAAGGGGCAACTATTCTAAAGAAAATTTTGGGATACATTTATGTAAAATTAAAATACCTTCCTCTAAATGTGCTTTATGTTCCATAAAAGTCATGCGAAGAATTAACAAGTCTTGGTTAGAATATTTTGTGCTTTTCTCTTTTAAAAATGAGGATAAGCAGAAAGGAAGTTAAGATGACACTGAGGAGATTTTGTCGAGAGATGCGTTATACTTACTCCTCTTTATACAGATGCAAAATTCCTTTTGTAACTTCAACAAATGGATTGCCTGACACAAAGCTGATTTGATCATCCTTTCCACCGCATTTTTCAGCTTTTGAAATCTGCGGCTTGCTGGACTGAGAATCATCAAAGGAAGTTGTTGGTCTGGCACTATCTCCAAGTAAGGCTTTGGTTGGTTCATCCTCAGCTTGGTAAGATTCCACGGTGATTTGCTGTGGTTTTCTGCGACCTCTCATGGCCCGGAGTTTGCTGTCTTGCAGAGCCATCGCACCAGAAAGTTCTAGATGAAAATAAATAAATTGAATGTAAAAATTAAGATGAAAAAATTAGGGAGGAGTAGCTTACTTTTAATGATACATCTATTAGTTCAACTTCATCGGCCGCATATCATAAGTGAAAGTTCCTTGTTTTTCCTAGCGAATAGTTGAAATAATTCTGAGGATAACAGCTGCACCTTGGCTATTCAATTTTTTGTCTCTTTTCTTTGGTATTGTAAAAATCAGCAATCCACTAAGTAAATATCGGCACAATTTATGATGAGAGGTCAAAAGCTTGGAGGGGTGGCTATCCAATGTAGGAAGCAGGAAAATGTAAAAAATGGTGAGAGGTGAATCAGTTTAGTAGCTGTGAGATGGGTTTTTACCTACACCAAAGCTATTTTGTTGGCAGATAGTTTTTGTGATAGATACCACTTTCAAGCCTAAATATTATGCATCTTCTTAAAGATATATGCAAGTCGTCACAAACAGCAGGAAATATGAGCTGTCAATATTACAGCTCATCAATTACACATTGAGATTAATGTTCAATTGTGGTTGGTTCCGAGCAACTCTAAAAGTTTAATAACTGTTTCTAAGGAGCGTACGGATAGGTACTGAGGTAAAATCTTTACTTAAGTGATTATATCATGCACCGATTCTTCCGCAGCTTGTCCTGAATATGGACAATTCACATCAGCTTTTCAAGTTCACAGTAGTACGCCTTAATATTTTGAGGAACTTTTAGATGTGATTGCTACAGAAACTCATCAAATTGAAGACGCAAGGTGTTGCGAAGGGACCCTAAAAATAGGAGAGTACATGCGGGGCTCATCGTCGCTGAATGGTCCAGTCATACTGAATTCAACCAACTTATGTAGAAAAACGAAAAACTGATCAGGGTGGAAATAATATTTTGTCGACTTTGAGAATGTGCTTACCTTCAGAATCTTCAGAAAGGTCACAAATTTCAAATCTAAAGACACAAAGAGCCACAGACATTGGAGAAAGAAAAGTACGGGATTGGCTCACATTCCAAGGATCCTACATTTAAGATCAACGTGCAAGAAGCAGTGGATGACCTAGCTTGAAAACGAACTGGTAAAATCCTGCAAAAAAACTTGCGACTAAATAGCCAGTACTCGAGCTGGGCACTTGCCTTGAAGGCGAAGTGTGCAGAGAAAAATTTAACTCACGGAACTACGAAATTCATGTAAACAAAGAGGCGAGCTTGCGAAGATCAGCTGATTTCCGCGAACCGATAACCGACTTCGACCAATCAACGCATCCGCGGCAACAACTTTTGAATTTTCGGCGGTAAAATGGGGTTGCGCTGTTCGCCCCCTCCTCTCCATCTGCAATCGAGGCTGAAACAAGACTTGTGTGCGATGACCTTACATGAATTCTTAAGCAGGAGTAAAGGCTTTTTCTTTCAAGAAAAAAGGTAGAGGAATTTGTCAGTGCAAAATTTCATATTCTGTTGTAATTGACAAAAATTAAACACGGGAGCCCATTTGTTTTATTTTGTAGGAAATCCGGAGAATGAGTAAGAACTACAAAGAACTTCATATTGGTGATGGCAATGAAAACACTGTGGCTCGACATTACTTTATTTCAAAGTTTAGTTTTAGCTGTATTTTATTATGATTCTTACTAATGTACCTAAGTACTTCGGTATGATAAACTTTAGGAGAAAATGCTCGAATAGGCATAATAAAAACACGAGCATGCTGTTTTTTTTTTTTTTTTTTTTTTTTTTTTTTTTTTTTTTGAGAGTGCCAAACTCCACGTGGTGTACCGGGAGATCCTGAAAGGGGGCATGCTGACGATAACAACTATAAGAGCTTAAACACATAAATGTTCTTCAATCACAAGTCACTGATTTCCTCCTTACGAAGAAAAAATTTTCAGCAATATTCGCCCACGCTCCGCGAAAATCTCGGCAGCTGAAGCTGAGATTCTTGGTGCTGAATTTCGGCAGCAACGACCGAAGTTCTCGACTTGAACTTTTGACCAGTCGACCAACTTTTCGGGGGGTGGATATTGTTGAGAATTGTTTTTCCATGCAGTGCAGTGCAATGCACTTTTCATAAAATTCTTCGACCGAGGGCTTGTATATGAAGAAGAGGAGGTAAGAGAAATTATCATAACGCAAACCTATAAGTGATTAGCCATAATAATATAGAAACAATAAAATCATATCCGACATAATTACAACATAGGCAATACTTTTATATTGTGAATCGTTAATATCACGTGAAAAGTTTTTCTCAAACAAACCTTTTGTTGGAGTTTCACTCAGAGCCTGTTTTAGGTGAATATTCCCTTTTCACAGCATTTGTAAGGATGAAAGTCTTATGCTTGAAAAGGGATTGCTTAAACCAACTTTAACAGTAATGAACCAAATCATAGCAAGAAATTTGGCGAAGCTTAAAGGCTCATACGGCGTTTTTTCTCAGCCTGGCAGAAAGGTGAATATGCCTTAAGAGAGGTGAGTGTTGCCAGGCTGCATAACCGATAACCTGCGGGCGTTTTATAGACGTTCAATTAAGATCGAGGAGATGAAAGGAGGTTTGAAGAAGTCCCATTTTCCCACAAAGTTTAATGCTAGAGATAAAACTCGACACATATTTAAATATTTTTCTCGTCTTTGAATTTTTGACGGAAGAACATTTGCGGCCTGATAAGCTTAAAATTACTTATAATTATTTTTTTGAAACAAAATGGGAGATGGTCATCTCTTCATTAATTTTTTCCATCAATGCTCACGTGCTGAGAAAAAACGCTGTATGAGCAGAGCATCCGGATTTTGTCAAGCCCCCCCCCCCCCCCCACGGAAAAACGCCGTGTTAACATTCAAATGCTGTCATGTCTCCCGGCATGAAACATTCATTTTTGAGGAAATTAAGAAAATATTTTTCCTTGAAATTTTCAGATACTGTAGATAGAATTGCGCATGAAATTTTTTAAAAAAATTGGGGAACAAGTTTAAATTTTCTATGTAACAATTCGTCTTTTATCAAAACAATTTGGCAACGCACGAACAGAAATTGTAGCACGACAGAATGGTAAAGATGAGCCCTGAGCGGTGCGTATTAGGAGGCTGCATAATCGATAACTTGCAGGCGTTTTATAGACGTTCAATTGAGGACACCGCACCAAGAACAGCCTATAGGCGTATAGGTCGTTTTACGCCCATCTGCTTTTCGGATTCTACGTACCCTGGACTATGCTGTGGTAGCGATAGAATTTAGATAGGTAACGGCTCAAGGTCGAAAAACCTTTTTTTTTTCGAGTTAAGTCAGGCCACTGGATCGATGGGTGCAAGAACGACCTATAGGCGGGCCTATAAACTTAAGGGCTTATAAGGTGCTAGTTACCCATTTCTTTACTCACTATCGATATTCTTTCATTTTGCACTAATCATGCGTGATTAAAATGATTTATACTTCATATTGCCACCAAAATGACTGTTGGGCGTAATATTGGCCTAAACCCCGCTGTTTTAAATTAAATATATTAGAGTGTAAACCCAAAATGCATCGCAAAATCTACCCGGCATCCTTCAATAGAAGGGTTAAGTCACCCAAAAACACCAAAACAGGGTACCTGCATAGAAAAGTCTGCGCAGTACATCAAAAACAAAACTTTAAATGCGTTTTTGTCGAAACGCGGTTTCAAGTTATAGGCTATTCTTGGTGCGGTGTCCTCAATTGAAGTAGCCTTCATGCACGCTGGGCTTGTCGATTTCCTTTGAAATTTTTGCAGTGGTTAATGCATAGCTGAAGTGCGCTCCAGCTAGAATTGTACTTAGCGAATGGGTAATTTTTATGGGAGGATTAAAAATAAACAAGTGGTACGGAATATAACAGAAGAATATGAACTATGCAAAACGATAATCCGGGTATCGGAACTTGGCTGTTTTGAAAACGCCTTCAAATGCGGCGTGATACCTCACGCATTCCGGAGAGTTCAAATAGTTGTATCATTGCGCCTTAGAACTGCGACGGAAGATTACAATAATTGTGATTGTGCATAATGTATCCAAAATTATGGTGTCAACCTAAATCAAGGGGTAAAATTTATTTACAAAAATACGTTTTTAGACAAATATGGATGTTGTCTTTGGCCCTTTTTCCTTGTTCAGTTCAGTTCAGTTTCGTCTGCTTTCTCAAAAGCTGCATTTTTTATGCACATCCGATGCAAATGCGTCGGACATACTGCTAAGTTTTATGAATAATTTACAGTTAAAATTGTACGTTTCCTCAGAGTTTTTGTTTTAAATCATGCATTTAGTGCATTGCGTGCATGTTTGAAACTTGCACCATGCGGTATGGAGAAAGACAAAAACCCACTGGATATCGAGGAATAGATGATGTTAAAAAAGTTGTCACTTTCGAGTCGCGCTAAAAATGGTAGATAAATTATGCAGAAATAACTCGTCTTCATTTTAAAAACATTAGCAGCGGAAATTTGAAGAATTAATTGACAACATAATAAAAATTAAAAAGTGAGAAAATTACCAGTTGCCTTTTTAATACAGATAAATTTAAATTCCACCCAAATAATATTTTTATTAGGTACATAGTCTTTTTCATATTACAGTGTTTCCTTTTAATTCATTCTCATTTGTATTCAAGCGATCAATAGACGCGATCAAGGATCAATATCAAGGGGGCGGCAAATTTTGCAATTTCTTTGAATATAGGTATAAAAAAAATCGGATTCAGAAAAAAATTACAAACGAAAAGAGGTGACAAAATCTCTCATCTCTTGAAAGTATAGTAATTTCTAATTTTGTCATCTTTCGGTGATACAAGAGACAGCACCTTTAATTTGTCGAGTTAAGAGACAAACCAAACACGCAATTTGGCCTGGAACGGCGCGGCGCAAAGAGCAATGATAACGAGAACTTGAGATGAACAGGAGAAACCCTCGGCGCGGCAGTCGGCATGTAACACATTAGCGCCTGCAAGACTGCATGAATACTTCACGCATTGCTTCAAACACAGTGCGGTCAGCGTGAAACGCATAGCGCCTACTAGACTGCATGAATACTTCACGCATTGCGTCAAACACAGTGCGGTCAACAGCGGTTGGCGTGGAACGCAGAGCGCAGAGCGCCTACAAGACTGTAGGAATACTTAACGAATTACGCCACACCTATTGCGGTCAGCGCGGCGCAGTGGCGGAAGTTAAAATTATTAAATTACATTTATGTTTGTTCTTTCATAATTTGTTCGTTCATTTCTTCAAATGGAAGGCCTCGTCCACACAGAGATAGGTATACAGAATTTAACTTTTGCGCAAAGTTTTGTGAACTTTTGCAGGCAGTGTTGACAGGGTTTTTGCAAATAATGTGTCCAACAAGAATGAACGCGTCTAATGCACCCCTCTTCCTTTGGCACGTTCACTTAATGGTTTTTATTGATGTTTCAAAACGAATGATAAGGGGGCGGCAAAATGCAGGCGGCCCATGGGCGGCAAATTGGTATAAATTCGGCCCTGGAAGACATAGGGAGTATGGAGCGATCCCATTGATTGAAATGAGGGGCTCTCACAGACTAAGGGATAAAATGATGGACTAACTATAGGGTATACCGTTAGTTAGTCCATTACCTACCTCCTATGTCCATTACAACCACCCACCTCCACCAATGAGATCCCTTCATTTTCATTTAGTCTTCTTTGTATATAGCTTTGTCTATCAATTTCAATAATCGGCCCGCTGATGGTCTTTAATATCCTGTATAATTTTAAATAAAAGTAAAATTTCCAATCACCGCATCGACTTTCAAGCTAAGGGAAAGTGTTTGACGGATATTCAGGTCGAAGTGACTGAAAGAAAGACAGGAATGATCGGAATCGTGGTAGCAGTATGAACGAAGACTGTTCATACTGCATACAGAGATCGGCACTAGCTCAGGTGGGTTAGGGCGCATCGTTGACGTATTAACGTTACGCCACCGAGCGCGGCGTCATTCGATACTTTACGTGAGAGCTTACGGCGAGTCACTGTTTTCTCGTCATCGCGCTCAGGTTGATGCACGGAGTGAGAGGAACGCAGCATCGAAGGTAACACTCACACTCGCACACGCTTTCACACTCACACGGGCGCAGACTCAGCATCTCGAGTCAAAGCTCTCGGAGAAGAATAGGCGACGATGGTAGGAGGCGCCGCGCCGCCGCACAGTGTGGCCCTCTATGGACAAAAATAAAAAATGTACCATTCGGCATCTGAATATTTTTTTTTATAGTTTGTCATCTTAAAGATATTTGGACGTATTTTTGCCAAACGGAACTATGTGCTTTATGACGTGAGCCCTGTTATGCATATATTCTTGTGGCATATATTCTGCATATATATGCACTTATTCTGGCATATATATGCGTATAATCTTCCCTTCATGTCTTAATGCACATAATTTCGTTTATCTGAAATACGTCCATTTCTGACTCATAATGATGGTTCATCTTTCAATATTTCGCTCAAAACTACCTCAAATTTGGGTAGAAAGTGGGCAGGAAGTGGGTCGAGAATCACTGATCCATAAGAAATACACAGGAAAAAGACGTCGCAACTTCAAATGCAGATTTCTCGCTTGAGACGCAAAATGCTCTGGGTGATTGACATTTTTTTTAATCCTCAGATATCCAACTTCAATCCTACCAAAAAGATCCTGCAACTTTTTGCGACTATCAGAGATATAAAGTTGAATTTGGGTGCTTTACGTTGCTTTTAAATTGTTAACATGGGGCTGATTCGAGGTTGGCAACTTCAAATGAACTTTTCTCGAAAAATACGCAAAATATCCTGAGATATAACATTTTCTTATTCCTCGAGTGTTTTACTTTGATATGCCAAAGGGTTTTCCTATGTCGGTGCTACTATCTTCATTATTTAAAGTTACACTGGAAAAAAACACATTGGATTTAGAGTCCAGACTCTTAAAAACCTCGACAAGAAAAAATATTCTTGATTCAATCGGACTTTTGCTTAGATCAAGAGCCAAGTCTCTCAATTTGAGCAGATTTCCTTTTGATTTAAGCAAAAATCTGATTGAATCAAGAGTATTTTTTCTTGTCGATGTTTTTAAGAGTCTGGACTCTAGATCCAATGTGTTATTTTTCCCAGTGTAAGTGTCTATTACCGATTTTTGTCCGCATCGTCCATGAGGATGCCGCACTGTGCGCCGACTCCGCGAGGCCCCCGGGAAGGAGGGGGAGGGGGAGGGCGATGGTGAGGTGAAGCCACTCTCACCGTCAGTGACCGTTCTTCTCTCTTACCGCGCGCCGTCTTCTTTATCACCCGTTCAAGTCTCCGCGGTTGTGCAACGTGCCGTGATACCAACTCCCTGTTTCGGATCGCAGATTTTTTGGGGGGGTCTGCTCCGCGATTCTGTTTCCGGAGGGTCTCGTTTTTTCAGGGGCTGGGCCCCGGAGTGTCGATGCGACGCTGGCGAAAAGCCCCCTCATTTCGAAAATGAACCGCGCGTTGGATTTTATCAAATCGCGAGCTTTTGATACGTGAAGCGGTGCGCGCGTTCGACGTCAGGATCTTTACACTTTTTCATCATATATTTAGTGTTAAAACACCTATTTACTGTAATTTAGCAAAGGCGTTATGTGGTTTTGATCGTTGATCGGGATCACGATTTCTGTTATCAGTGCAGTGGCCGTTGTTGTTTTTGAAATTTTTCGAAATTCGTGCGGCTGAGGATTACTTAAAATTGGATGCACACTTACTCCAATCGAAATGTGGTGAGGCGTCACGCTGAAAAGCGGATTATGCAGTGTATAGTGTTTCTGAAATTGTGCTTTTTCAAGCGAAGGTGCTGAGTACTGTCCCTCAATGGCTACGGCAAATTACGGATTCGCTCTTTTCATCCAGCTCGTTCTGGTGACATGGATTTCCGCCCAACAAGGTAGAATCGCTATATATTACAACCTGCTTTAAGAGTTTTTTCAATTAAAATCAATTTAATTAGGCGGAGGGTGCGCGAAGCGTTATGGAGGGTAGGACCGCGAAGCGGTAATGGGGGTAACCCCCATAGTTATAGAGGATAGAGATTAGTTTTAGTCATGACCATTTCAATTAATATAATGTAAACTGATTAGGGTAGACTGACGGATCGTGAGACAGTGGGTTGCGATTTTTGAAAAAAAAAAATTTGAAAAATTCCAACTTACTAAATTAATGTGCAAAGGTCAAAAGGTGGCTATAAACTTGTGTCACGATATAAAGAGAGGACAAAAAAGTCGTTTATTAGTATGACACCTCGTGGACACGAGGAAACCGAGGAATATTCGGTTGGCCGACCATCCGCCTCACATGAAATCATGGTTTTTTTTATTCTTGCTGAAGATACCTCGAAGACTGTAAAAAAAAATGAGATAATCGTTTTTAACTGTTACCATCATAAAACAATCTTGATCAGAAATTTATTGTCCTCTCAAGAATTACAAAACTTGTCTCGCACGTTACATAAGAAGGTTTTAAACAGTCTCAGGCTCAGGTACGGAATACCGCCTATCATTATACTCCAACTTTCTTAAAGAGGGGATTATATACAGGGAGGCCCAGACCTACCGTGCCAGGCCTTTTCTCTGTTATTTTAGGTTGAACTAAGTTCAGGACCGCGGGGACGAACAGAAAATTGACCCCAAGGAATCCGAATTTCATAGTCTCGGAGCCCCTCGGCATTTTTAGGGATGTAAAAGAGGGGTCCGTCCTTATAAAGTCGGAGTTTGCGTCAAAATTTTAAAATTATTTCATTGGAATCAGAAAGTGGAGATTATTTTATCCAAAATCGACACCAAACAATCCAAAATCGGCCCATCTGTGTCCGAAATACTGACCCCTTAAGGTGGAGGGACAGAGCCTCCTTCAAGAAATGCAAGTTAGCTAATGGAAAGCTTTAACCTGTATATTTAACCAGTTTGGAGTCTCAGCATTAAGAAGAATCTCTATGTGTCTCTGCGAAAGACCGACTCGGAGACTTTAACGCTCAAGTAGAAAGATAGACGAATGAAATCTCAGGCGTTTACTGCAAATGAGATGCAAAATTTCGGTCATTTCTTTTGCCTGCGCATAGGAGGAGACTCTCTATATGCCTCATCTTAGATGCGGCAACGTCTGCAGATTCACACGGCTTTTTACTTTAACACGGCAGTTTTGTGGTCAGTGTTTTGAACCAAAATGGGCTGATTTTGGATTTTTTCGTATCGATTTGGGTAAAATTTTCCATGATTTCTAAATTTGACATTTCAAAATTTTGAAGGAGACCGCAAACTTTAAAGTCACGACTCCCCTTTTATCCCATGAGGGAGCCCGAAGGGGGGGGGCGCTAGGACCATAAAATTCGGATTCTTCGAGGTCCCCTTTTTCTTTTTCCTAGTCAGTGGGTATTTTTGATATTTTTACAGAAAACCGGCATACCCGTCATACCCTATTTAACTACATTGTCTTGCGCTTTTTTGACACTTATGCACTATCGATCCTTCCGCATGTTTCATGGGTGGGGGGGGGGGGGGGGTGAAGTGTTAAAGTTACACTTCATTAACAGATTAATGGAATATAGTGTGGTAAGACGATAGTGGTAAGTGTATTTGTTTCTTTTTCTAAAAAAATGAGGCTTGTTAAAGATAAAAAAGCGGTGATATCATTCAATCTCATATCCGCAGGTTTTGGACATCTGAAATTTTGACGTATTCAGGACTTCTAAGTACCCTCAACAATTATACCATTGTGTCAAAAATAAAGTCAACCTTTGGTTGAATTTGTCATATTTTTCTCCATACTATTAAATAGTATTAATTTTACTCTCACTGGAAAAAAAACACATTGGATCTAGAGTCCAGACTCTTAAAAACATCGACAAGAAAAAGTACTCTTGATTCAATCAGAATCTAGCTTAAATCAAGAACCAAGCCTCTTAATCAAAGCAGATTTCGTTTTGATTCAAGCAAAAATCCGATTGAATCAAGAGTATTTTTTCTTGTCAATGTTTTCAAGAGTCTGGACTCTAGATCCAACGTGGTTTTTTCCAGTGCTTCAAAAGCCCTACATGAAGGTAAAATGGGACAAAGTTAATTGGAGCATCAAGTAAATGGTTAATAGGTAGAATTTTTGTCAGAGATGGCCCAATCATCTACTCCCACTCGATGCCGAGACAGGTGTAAAAACGGTAATTCTGAACAAACCGCAAGCTGATATTTAAGAGTGCCACCTATCTTGACCACAGATTACTCAAATCTGCTATTAATGAAAGATGAAGAAAAAAACGGTTCATAGGTCTGTTAAATGCTCGAAACCACAGTTAAAAGTTGAGAAATGGAATTATAGCCAGTGCCTCACATAATTAAGTCATTTTGTCCATCGAATTGTGTTTCGCCTCGGTGAGGCGCGCATCAGCCGCGATCGGCAGATGTATACACGAGCAGGTGTCTAAGTGTGCGTGTGTGAAAATATACGCGTGTGCAGGCCGAGCTGTTGTCGATTAAGTTGACAGCCTTGACTCTGTACTCAAATCTAAAATTAAAGACAAAAAATGCAGAGAAAAACCGAGCTCTCTCTTCGACTCCGAGCAGCTCCTGCAACACACCAGCTTTGGTGGGAGGCTTGGAATATTTTTTCATTCCTCGCATTGAGGTTGGGTGGATTCTCGGTGGAGGAATAGGTGAGAAATTGCGGTTTAAGCTGCAAGGTCTAGAGGACCGTGAGACTTCAGACACAATCACATGAGACCTAAAAATGAGAGGGGCAAAAAAAAAAAAAAATTCAAAATACCTTAATTTTGCTTGAGGTGACGGATTCATAAGAATTAGGTTCGTGCTCTTGTGATTGACTCTATCAGCACAAAAATATGAGGTCTGTAAAAACTCCACCCTGGAAATAAAAGTTGGTGTTCAGCATTAGAATGGCTGATCATGACTCATGCCAGCTGTAACACATATCGGTGCTGCACACCGATCGAATTGATGCTCATATTGTGCACCAATTATAGTTGATTATGTAATGATAGTTGGTGTGCAGCACCAACTATAGTTTGTGAGAAACACCAATGTTCCTGGTGTACAGCACCGGCTAGGGTTAGGTCGGTCAGCAAGAATAACTTTTTTCGGTTAAACATGGCTACCTCTACGATAGTTTTATCAAGTAAAGTAAGGTTTCAAGTAAACTTAGAGGATAGTGACACTGAGTTGGTTTTCCATCAAAATTTTCATAACGGGGTACCTGATTCATCATGCGTACATAGAATAACAAGAAAATGTGCCGTCATATGTGCACCTGCATAGCTCAAATTGCATACCCATAATTCCCTGTTCAGTACAGCTCCACAAATACATTTATACACGATTGGAAGCTAAAATGCATTAGTGTTTGAAATCTATCTGAGAAACTCTGAGAGTAGAATAACATTGCATCCACCAGGTAATCCTCACTAGACGCACAATTTCGGTTTCTCCAGCATACTGCACAGCACACGTAATGATAACATAACAACTATTACATCCAACCTGGCTCAAAGACGTTGTCAAAAGCAGTGACTCTACATTGTTGTTCAATGTATGACAGGCTATAGCCCTCAGTGTTTACGGCTCAAGATTTGCCAACACCGATACATTTTTGCATCGTCAATTTAAAACCCACACAAAGAAAATGTCCCCTGGTTCTATTTTATTTATTACGCTAATCTCGGGCGTGGCACACTTGAAAGCGGTTCGATCATCTCTCTAAATTTTTGTACGGTCGGTCGAATAAAATATGCTATAAAAAAGCTGTAATCCTTCGTAACATAGATTTCCACCACCTTGGGATATACTTGTTTGGATTTGGTTGAAAAAAGGATCATTTGTCTACGAAAAACATTTGCCGAAACGCATTCCCAAGACAAAAATGCGGAGAGAGAAAGAATTCGAATACTTTTTAACTTAAAGATTTGCATTGGAAAAATTTGCAGTTTTATTTTTTTTAAGTTTCAAGTAAATTCTCTGGTATGGGTGCCATACAAGCCCGGCAAGCTATTTTGATGGAACTGCCAAGTAAAACATCACTTTTAGCACACGTAGCAAGCTGCTAACTTCTGGCTCAGTTTAAGAACAACGTATGTACCATTAGTTTCCCTATGCACATACGTGTTTTTAGGATGATCCCGAAATTATAGTTCCTATTTACAAAATGAAGTACAATTATGCCATCGCTTAAGAGTACTTTTATCTAACTAATAAAAGGGAAATACATTGATCATACACTGATCCATCACGCTCGCCTCCCCGCTCCCACCGGTCGGAATCGGTGCGAACTTAGCCGTTCGACGGGTACTGTCCCCGAGGGGTGCAATAAGCTTTCTTTTCGCGATCCGCCCGTCCGTTCGCGAGTAACCGCGGTCGGAAGTCGCGGATATTCCCGTAAGCCCGTGTGTGTTGNTTGACTGCTAGTGTAAAATATTCCTACTTCAATGAGGAGTCTCTAAAGTGATTTCACACCAATGGAACAGTTCCTGGCAACCTAAATTTCAGCATGCTTGACGAAGGGTGTAAACCAATTCTCTACCGGTCAATTGATGCAATAAACCAAAAATCGTGGATTGCTTCTTCACTTGCCTTTTCTTCTCGCGTTGAGACACCGAGTATTCTTTAATCAACGCCTCGTGATTAAAACGAGGATGAAGTTTCCTCGCCTTCCTCGCACGGTGACCCATTTCACCCGAAAATATTCCCAGGCAGGGCCGGGCGTTGGTCCGAAAACTCGAAATTCGGTGGGAAGCGGATGGTGTAAGCGGGTTATTTAAGGGGCAAGCTGACCGATGACAACTCCGAGGAGGATCATTGTGTAACAGGGGCTGAGCGATACGTCGCGGCGCTGCTGCCGACACAGTGAACTGGAATAAGTGAGTAACGGTAAAAGTTGTAGAAACAGCCG